TGTGCGGAGAGATTGGAAGAATCCAATCTCATACAAAAGTCATTAAAAATATTCTGGGAGAGTCAAGCGGTGTTGAAAGCTCTTGGCTCCTACCAAGCAACGTCTAAATTGGTAGCAAATTGTCAAAAACGACTCTTCTCGATAGGAAGACTTAACAGATTGATTCTGGTCATACTGCCCTGGAAAGCAATGAGGCTGCTGATTTCCTTGCAAAGAAGGGTGCTGCAAGCAGCTTCATCGGACCAGAACCTATCATCGGCATCCCTTTAGGGATGAACTACGATGTCTAACAGGGCTTCTAACAAGTCACTGTCATTTGAATCATCATATGCAGAGACTCGGACTGTCGGAATACAGTGTGTGTCGCCTCTGTTTGGAAAATGTGAAACAGCAGAGCACATACTTTGTGCCTGCCTCGCTGCGGACCGAATCAGAGTTTTGGAGTTCGGTACTCTCATCATCTGACCTGAAAAATCACTCACCATACCAACTAATCGGTTTCGTTAAGAAGCTGGGTTTATTTGGCCGAGTGCGACCTAACCTAACCTAACCATGTTAATTTTCAGGTTATAGTAGTAGTTTTTAGTTTTCTGTTCACACAGAGCATCACGAGGATCGTCAAAATTAATTTTCAATATCGAACCAGTTATTGGCACTATCTTTATTGTTTTCATATTCAATTATTTTTTATAATTTTCTTGTCTATCTCAAATACTAATTTTATCAAAGCTGAATTTATGGTCTATGCCGTTGTAATTCAAACTTATGCTATGAGTTTGTTTTTGTTTGAAAATTCTTTACGTACCTACTGGTTTGGCCTAAGAAGCATATGTCACAATGGTTTGGCCTATGAAGCACAGAAATTGTATTATTTTGTGAAAGACGTTGGTTTATTGTCCAAAATTAATATTTACTGTGATTACTCGAATATATCATTCTTGGGTGATTTTTATAAAGGTGAATGATGGATATATTGAATGCTAGGAAGGTTTAGTACTTGCTGGCTAACCACCATTTAGAATGTAGAACGATTTGAAGAATTGAACTTGCTCATACAAAAGATGATTCATTTTGGATAAATTATATCAAATTTTGAAGGAAATTAACGATATGGTTCGAATAAATTCAACTACTGGGGTTTCCAGGAAACTGTTCGAATTGTGCATGTTGAAGAAGCGGTAAAATCTATTTATTTTTCAGAGACACCCTGTGTAACTCCCCGCTTCTGATACGATCGGAAAGAGCATCAAACGGGAGTATTAAAAGTGTCGTATATGGCACACAGGTCGGGGTGTAGTTCGAAGGAAATCCATTCTTGGCGCGATTTCTGGTAAGCCAAAAGCCAGGATCAAGATTGCTTCACGATATACGAGCAGATTTCGCAGACTATGCAATGTTTTAGTTCTTTGAAACCGGAATTGAATAAGATCAAGACAGTTTTATGGTGATCGGATATCGGCACTAAACTCTTTAATGAATATTCAATTTATATCTGTCTAGGGAGGGTTTGTAGGGATTGGAAAGTTTGTCACTGAGAATTGTGAGTGATATTTGATATGACAGTGAATAGATTCAATGACTAGTTTCATATTTGTGACAATCTTCGAACAAGAGAGTATTTTAGTATAGAAACATTCTTAAACTCGTATGGATAGTTGGATAAGATCAAAATGATTCATNATTAGTCACTCCGAAAAAAATAACCCTTTCAATGTAAACTTTTAGAACTTTTGACACGAATCGAACCTGAGAATACAGTTGAAAAAGATGCTTCATTTTTGAACAAGATGATAAAATCTCATATAGAACAGGCAGTACGTTGGAAAAGTTACTCAAAAATAGAGAAGACAAAACATCCAAATTCGATTAATCAGAATCACCTATATAAATTAAATTATGTAACTTGCTCTGAGGTATATATCGGTGAAACCGACAGAATATTCAAGAATCGCATCCAGGAACATCATATGAGCTATATAAATAGAAAGACAAGTGCAACATATTCAAATCATTTTTCAAAAGAGAATCATATCTTCAATTGAAATTTCAAAATTCTGCACAAAGAGAACGAATGATTAAAGCTAAATCAATAAATTTAAAATTCCAAATATTTTACTGAATGCCAATTGGATTCAAAAAGATCGTCATTAATGAACTTGTTTTTTAGAAACAGGTGTTATTCTAGTTTTTGTAGACATATTATTATTGATGTAGTAATTATATATCTCAATTATATATCTCAATTATAATGTAATTATAATTGAGATATATGAAAGTTGAGTAAATATGAAAATAATATATGTTTTAGGTAATTATAATTGAGTATGTACTTGAGTAGGCCTGATTGGTGAAGTTTCTACCGGTGAGAAAGTGATCGAAGTGTTTCAAAAGATTGTAGTCGTTTAATTTTTGGACGATGATTTGTGAAATGTGCGGACGGCCGTTGTCGTGAAGCAGAAAAAGGACTTCTTCTGTTGACCAGTGCCGGCTGCTGCTGGCGCATTTTTTGGTACATTTCATCGATTTCCTAACAATGGGACTCTGCTGTGATGGTTTGGCCCTGTTGTCGTAGAGGATCTACTTTTCAACGCCCGTACTATCCGATCTGAAAATGGATCGTTTTGGTTGCGCAAGAGCAAGGAAGAATATACCTCAAAATGTGACAATTTCTGTCAATTGTTCAAATCGGGCACCAACGATAACCACGATATTTTGGCAGCGCTTTGGTTCAATTTGAGTTCGAAGATAAAATTTGTCCGAAAATCATATAGTAATAAGCTGAAGATAGGCAAAAAATTAATATTTGAAAAAAAATTAACACCATCAATGAATACAGTACAAAATTCTCCACTGACCAGTGTATCTAACTACACAGTATAATATTTTTTAAGAACCTAATATCATCAGCGAACATGCTTTTATGACTGTCAGCTACCTGTGACAGTAGATCAGTTTCTGTGTGTGCTACGCTGATGATACTACTTTCATTCAATCCCACAACAACGTATCTATATTAAACGAAATTACGACTAAGTTCAACCGTAAAGAGGTTCAGAGCAAACAACCTAACAAGAGCAAATCTCAAAAAATTATTTGCTCCTCAAACGAAAAGTTATGTAGATCGGAATCTGTCAAGTTGCTCGGTCTGACCCTTGATGATGACTTGAGTTGGCAAACCCATATTGATATATTATCCAAAAAACTATCCACTCAGCTTTTTCTGTTGAGATGTCTTAAACAATCTTTAAATTCTTTTACCATTCTATTTTCGTATCACACTCTTTTCCTCTCTTATTTGAATTACGGAACTATTTTATGAGGAAACTCACCTCACTGTGTTAGAGTTTTCCGTCTTCAAAAACGTGCTATACATTTGATGGCTGATGCCCTGTATAATGCCTCATGCCAAGAACTCTTCAAGAAGCTCAGAATTTTATGTCTTCCTTCTATTTATATCTATCAAAGATCCCTCCAAATACATACCAGGAAAACTGAAATTGTCAGAAATACCGATTTCCACAACTATTCAACCAGGGAAGCAGACCATATGAGGCCACCTGGATATAAACTTGTAATCTCACAAACGCAGTTCCCTGAACTTGCATCTGTACAGTAAGCTACCACGTGAATGGAGAAATATCGATCTCATCCTTTTTAAACGGAAGATGAATCAATTCTTAGTAAATTTCAGTTTTTTTTTCTGTAGAAGAGTACTTAGGGTACGCAATTCCTAATTGATGAGTATGTAGTTTCCTACCAAAAATGAATTGAAATTATTTATCTTTACTCTCTGACGAGCGTTCGATATTCTTCCAGATTAACCTCATGCAGTTTCTACAAGACATTCCATATAATAGATTATTACCATTTTTTAACTTTTATCTTTATACATTTCATCTATATATTATCTTTTTATCTTTACATATTTTAAATATATAATATCTTCTTACGCACACATCTACTTAGCTGACATTCATCTATCATTTTGTATTTTACCAAAAACTATATACCATTGCACTTTGTCGTAAATGTATTCTGTACATAACATGATGAAATGAATGAATAAATATGATAAAAACAGTAAAAGTTTTTGCCTAGAGATCTTATATGCTTCGACTCTTCTATGATAAGCGAAGGAAAGTCAACCAGATTTCCCAGCAATTTTGGTATTACGATAATGATATATTGTATCATGTTGCGAACAAAGTACAAAAAAAGTCCCACTTAATAATATTTCTGTTAGACCAGATAATGTTGAAATTTTTTTTTTGAAATACATGATTGATCAAAGGTGGAAAGTGCAATGTACAATGTGACTCAGTAATAATTGAAATTTCTTGCCTAATGGAAAACGACAAGTTAAAAGCAGACTCCGCAGAAGAAGAATGAAAAACGGTCGAACATATACTGAGATGTGAGGCTCTGAGACAGAGTTTAATACAACACAAATTATAGAATCATATTAAGTAGACAACAAGAATATTGTGCATGCAAAAAATGAGCATATTTTTCTAAATTCAGATATGGATGTAGCTTTAATAAACCAAATAATTTCAACAGCACTACTTATATGAAGAAATATGTGGATACCGTGAAATCCGTATTCCTAAATCTACTTTGCTGAGTCACAATTCAATAAGCCGTATTTTTAGCATAGTTGCGGTGTTAATTTCACATTACAGTATATGAAAACCATTATATAAATCACAGCTTTCACAGTTCAACTTTATTCAATAGCCAATAACTCACAATCAAATCGTACCTCAAAAATAAGCGAAATGAAGAAACTATAAAATATGATAACGTTTGATGAAAGCTGAAATTTGGACAGTTATTTGATAAAACAACTAATAGACTTTTGTCCATCATAATTTTTATCTATTTCAACTACAGTAGCTAGTGGTAGTTTCCTGTAGAATTTTTGAAATAATCATCTATCCACCAACGATCTATCCACCTTACCTTCTCATTTAGATATATTCAAAGGTCAATCCAAAATAGTTTTCAATTTGAAGGTTTTTATAATAGGTCACTTATACATCTGATTACTAAAAAAAAAATCTTCCATTCAGTCGTTTCAACGTCAATAGTCTCGTGAATAACTTCCAAATGTATCATCACTTCATAAACTACTTTGTAGCACATCTAGTTCCAGCAATGGCATCTTCAACGTTGTTGGACCAAACTCTGAAATTTATTGTATCATAGTCCAATTTTCCAAACAAAAATTGAGGCATAGAATTCGTGATCAGGTAGACCTTATCGTCATGAACTTTGACGTCACTGGGATAAGCCATAGTTTTGTTGTCTTTTTGTACGATCGATATTGTATTCAGAGGTAGGTTCGTGTTCCAGCAAGCTAAGGCGTTTTGGTTGATGAGTCCCAGGAACATAACACCAGATGGTTGGTGGATGTAGGCCGCTGTGGATTGGGATTGTGGTCCTCGATCACCTATATTCTGGAAAAATTAACTTTGTTTTATAAGTTCACGTATGAAGGCTACGAAAGATGTAGAGAGATACCCTAATTTTGGGAATTGGGTTCGTTTTTTGTGGAAGAAATCAACATGGAAAACCTCCACTCTCTCTCACAAGGTTGGACAAAATTAACTTCAATCCATATAAGAAAAGCAATAGTCTTGCATCACTCTTCGCAGAGAGAGCGTGACCAATGAAACAAGGTAGCCTTGTAATACCTCATTTATTAGGTATTTGAATTTTTTATCCAACACCGATTGATTTTTGGAAATCAAATCACCCATTCCTGACTAAATCGCAATTTAATATTCGTTTTCAGAATCTGCAAACAAATGACAAATTATCTCGAATAAACAAAAATTGGAAAATATCTCCAGTTCACTTCAATGATATTCAAAATGTTTACCATTCACTTATTGACGAAAATGAAGTACATTTATAATTTCACAGGAGAAACGATATGCTACATACAAGTTAAAGTGGAATTTATCCTGCCTTCGTTTATTGTTCAATGTGATATAATGTCCATTGTATTTTGTATTTTCAGTTCACCAATAAATATTATCATCATCCGAAATATGCGCTGGTCAGGCCCTTTCCCCCGAAGCCCCGATACATCCATAGGGGCGCGCCAGCATTATCCACCAACGACCACTCCCCACACCGTGGGGTAAGCGATCATTGGGTCCGAGAATCATGTGCCCTGAGCAAGCGCAGTGAGCCAAAAACGACAGTCTTGTGCATCTGTCCAGCTAAGATTTCAGCCTGACCTAAGGTTTTCCGCGATACTTCTCGCTCGCCTCACTAGTGACTTCTTAGTAGCCACTAGCATTCGTATCTTATTGAAGCAGTGCTGTTTGGTGGCCAGCAGCACGCCTTGACTTAAAGTGTGATGGATACGTTGTAGTTTGGCGGCTATTCGCCGCACTGCGGGCGTGAAAGGTCTGTTGGCCGCCCTGTAATCTATCACACATTGGATACGAGACGCGTGTTGTCTCGCCGGCGTGATCTTAGCCTCCATCTTGTGTACACGTCGTTCAATCCTCCGAACCGAAAGGCCGTTATTTCATCCTTCCGATTCGGAAAGCGATTGGACGACGCTATACACGGCGGTGTTGATTTGCCAGATATCAGCCTCTTCTGTAAGAACACTGTGAACCTCCGCATCCCAACATGCCAGTTCTTGTGGCTTCAGGGGCCTAATTCTGTGAAGCGTCCTACGTGTTCTGATTGACTCCATAGGTGGCATGATGCAAGTCTCATCTCCAGCTGTGTCAACGGGTGGTAGAACTGTCATTTCTACCACTTCGTTAGCAGGCTGGGAAGCAGCTATATAGCCCTGCCGCCGAAGATAGGATACGTAATCCCTAAGACTTTGGGCGGAAAAGGAGGCATGCTCCGGATGTGTTTCACAACACAGATCATGCAATCTCGCCATGCACCCTCTTCGCGCGGGTCACTACTCTCGTAGCAATGCATAAGGCTATCTCTTAGCTTATGCGTCCACTCAAAGCGTCCGTTGTCATTGCCAGGGTTGTCATCGGTGGGCAAATCATCGTTATGGGCCCTACCAGCTTGCCTCTGACCCCTCCGAGTGGGTCGATTGTGGAGGCCCCTTCCTCGATTACTAGGAACCAAGTGTTGTGTCCACCAGGTGGTTAGCCCAGTAGACCCACGGCCGGCACCGAAGGGAGAATAGTGTTCTTCTTTCCAGGTGCGCCTGGTGTGCCGGACCGGTTTTGCACCAGTTGCTCGGGTAAGTGGTGGCGTAACTCACCAACGGCCAAGGGTGTTATTGGCCAGCCCTGCTTATATTATTATTATTATCATCATGCGCATACCGTAGTAGGCGCTGTTCAGGCCTTATCCCCCGAAGCCCCGATATATTCGGGAGGGCGCGCCAGCATTATCAACCAACGACCACTCCCCACACCGTTATTATTATTAGTATTATTGTACAATTTCCCCATGAAAAACAAAATGCATGTTCATTTGGAATTCTAATATGTCTGTAATAACTCAATGGAAGCTTAATAGTATCAAAAATTCCATATCAATTCAGAAAAATGTACTTTGAAATCTGAATTTACACCCAAATTAAAACCTGAAATGCTATCATAATTTTCAAGTGTGTGTTGTCAGCAGTCATTTTTATTGATAAAAATCATAATGATGTATATAATTCCCCAAAAATATTTGTAGGATTAACTATAATGTCCCAAAATAATTAAATGTTGGAATATAGGAAAGGACTTCAATCAATAAAAACGTAAAATTATAATTTAAAAAATTCATTAGAAGTCGTTACCTGAAAATCGGTTCCATCGCTAGATCTAGTCGACTCAGTTTCATTCCTCAAGAGGATTGTGGATACTTTGTACATGTGTGTTCCTGCCAATGGATGGAAGTAGAGATCCCTATATCCATTTTGTTTCAGACCAGAGAGTTCGGTACTGAAAATGCCGTCGTTGAATTTGAAACTGTGTCCAGACACGAAGAAATTCGCTAGGTTTGGATCAGGATTGAAATATCTGTGATTGACCCTCCACGATTTATTGTTTTTCAAACTGTAAACAACTAATCCAAATGCTCCTACAAAATTCAATATAGGTGAAAAATTGGAAGAGAAATAGAGGAGAATGTTTCAACAATTGTATTGAGAACGAACGTCAAAGTCAACTCAGCTCCACGAAACAAAATGTGAGGGACCACAATTTCAAATTGGTTTTTTGGAAATATCTCGATAATTATTAAATTTGAAAAAAGATCCTTAAAGAAGAGGAAATTTTCTGAAAAATAAGTTTTACCTCCCGGAAGCTATCACCAATATTTATAATTTTAATTTATAGGCGAATATAGAGCTAACAGCGGGTGATACGAGTCCCGCACACGCTTATCGATATGGACAATAAAAATATTTCAACCCATTGAATAGCATTATTGAGAAAAAAAGTCACATACCTTCTAAAAGGATTTGGAAAAGCTGAATACACTTATTTGAATTAATGAATCGAAGAGGTTTTGTATTAAAGTGTATAATATATTAAAATTCTTGCAAAGCGCTTTCGACTTTTGTCATCATCAGTG